TCCCATATCAGAGTTTTTAACTGTCCCTGGTGGTACAACTGATTGTATTCCAAGGTCGTTAATTTAAATTTTGGATTGGAATCTTTAAAATTCTATGAGTTAATAAGTTTTAAAAAACTATGAAATTCGGTATAATTATATACATAGTTGCATTCTAAGCAGAGTGTATTTTTAAAGTTTTATTTATTTTCCATATCATGGTTTTCAATTGTCCCTCATGGTACAAATTATTTTGTCCTAAGTCAGTTAATTTTCAATTATAAATTTTGGATTAGAATCTTTGAGATTCCATAGGTTAACGAGTTCTAAAAAAACAATGATCCGGAGATTCATCAAAAAATTTGCAGCATTATAGCAACAGTGGACTGGAGAATGATTTGAAATTTCTTGTTCAACAGCACCTCCTCATTCCCCGCAAGTCACCTTAACTGCTACCACCACAAACTCGTTGACAATGAAACTCCGCCCTCACCCGACCGACAACGCTCCGATCCACGGCTACACGATCAATTACAAACCCGAATTCGGCAACTGGGAAACCGCACTGATCAGCTCCACCGACCAGATTCACACATTGGAGAACTTGTGGTGTGGCTCGAGATACCAGATCTATGTCACGGCTTACAACGGGTACTTATACGATAAATAATAACAATAGTTAAGAACAATAATAAGGAATAATAGGAATCATCGATGGCACCAGGAATCCAAAACTGACAAAACTGAACATTTTTATAGAATTGGCACCGGCGATCCCTCAGATATGCTGAACACCCGCACCAAAGGCTCGAAACCAATCATCCCCGAAGCAGCACGATTCATCGAAGTATCCACCAAGAGTATCACCCTTCATCTCAGCGCCTGGTCCGATGGTGGTTGCCCGATGCTCTACTTCGTCGTTGAACAAAAGAAAAAGTAAGAAACGAGCTTGCGACACCTCTAGGTGTGCGAGAAGAGATTCGACAAAGCTGTAATTTTCTGCGATTCGACGATACTTTAAATTTGATGTCCAGATGCAAAAATCTGAGCGACATTCATTATTTTGTTGGTATATCAGTTCTTTGCGACCTTGTCTTATTTCTAAAAATAGAATCGAGGCACAAGGAGCAGTATTTTGTCATCTTCGAAGAAATTCAATTTGAATACGATAGAATCTCCATTATCCTCCAATACCAGAACTCTTTATTTTCGTTTAAAAAGAGCTTTCGAAGCATCATACAGAGTGTCCCAAAATTATGGCAGTTTTGGGAAATGAGGGATTCCTGAAGTCATTTGAAGTAACTTTTTCCTTAGCGAAAATGTTCTACGAGGCTTCGTTTACGAGTTATTAACGAGAAACACTGACCAATGAGAGGCAAGCTCGCCTAGCACTAGGCGGTCGAGCCAATCAGCGGGACTGCGCTCCGCCCACTCGTTGGCTCGACCGCCCCGCGCCAGCCAAGGACGACTTTCATTGGTCAGTGTTTTTCGTTAATAACTCGTAAACGGAGCCTCGTAGAAAATTTTTGTAAAGGAAAAAGTTACGTCAAATGACCTCAGGAATCCCCCATTTCCCGCAAGTGCCATAATTTTGGGACGCCCTGTAAAACTATTGCGGCTGCTACAGGAGCGCAGTAGATACCAGTAGCTCGAGTCAAAGGCCAATTTGTAAGACTCCCGTAGACCCAGTTTCCTTTCGGTATCGTCTCGATTACAACACGGACCTTGACAAGAGATTAATGGCAACCGGTTGAAACGATTTAGGCACCAACAGGAATGGAACCAGGTATCGAACAATGTAAAACCGAACGGCAATTTCGTGGTGTTGGACTTGGACCCTGCCAGCTGGTATCATCTTCGCGTGACCGCCCACAATAACGCCGGATTCGCCGTAGCCGAGTACGAGTTCGCCACACTGACCGTAACCGGAGGTAAGTATGGCAGATCAGCAAACTAAAAGGGCAGCGGCACTCGGTAGCCGGTGCTAATGGTGGCTGGATTGAATGGTCGCCGTGTTTTTTGTTCCAGGCACCATTGCACCGGCCCGCGAGCTACCCGACGTGAACGATGGTGGCAACGAGGAAGATCCGATGAAAATTTTCAAAGCAAACATATATCTGGTAGTGCCGGTGGTAACCGCAATTGTCGTGATAATCGTTGCCGTCATCGTGATCTGTGTTCTGAGAGGGAAGGGCCATGGTAGCGATAAAGGTAACTCAGTGCTATTCTTCTCTTTTCTTTTTCCGGTGCGTTATACGAAAACACAGGTACCATCGCACCGCCCGTACGCAACGACAGCAACGACGTCAGGCGTTATTTCCCGTGGCTGCCGAGCTGGATCGACGTAAACGTGGTGGTGCCGGTCGGAGCTACGGTAGTAGTGATTATTGTAGGCATAGTGGTGATTTGCGTCGCACTGTCGAGGAGAACTCGAGGCCCGGAGCAAACGCGGCTGCGAGGTATCTCATCAGCCGACGAGAAATATTACGAGGGACAATGTATACCAACCTTTTTTTGTATTTTTTTAAAAACTCTCTAACAAGGGAACGCGCCGAAGCGACGCGCGACGATTTCGGCGAGACCTTGCGCGAAGGTGGCTCCCGGAAAGCTTCGGATGAAGTAGTTGGAATACGTCGTTTTCGATCTTTTCGTTCGTTCCGACCGATTGCAATTTTTTCAAAAACTCTTTTACTCTTTTACTTTTACTACTCTATTAATAGACTTGTATCGAAGAAAATGCATTCACATTTTTGAATGTAAAAATGACAGAGCGTCATTTTTAATCCAATTAAGATAATCAAAATCGAGTTGCTGAACTGGATTCTTTATTTAAAAAGATACACAACGTTACACTTTCGATCATTTTTCTAGCTGTAATAGTTTCCGAGATACTGTTTTCACCCCTTTAACACTTTGATTGCCTCGTCATTCATGCACTAGTGACAGAATTATTTGTCCAGATTTGAAGCTGAATATTTACGCCGATCTATTATATCTTCCAAATTCATTAGGATGCGAAAAACTGAAAATGTTAAAACAGCAATCGCCGTCACACAATTAAGATTAACAATTTGAACAATTAAAATATTTTAATCGTCTGAAATTTTCGAGGTTGCTGGCAGTGAAAGCGTTGATTGGAACGAGGCCTCGTAATCCGGAATTATGGGGTTTCTGAGATCATTTGAAGCAACTTTTTCCTCAGCGAAAGTGCAATCCGCGGCTTTGTNAATTACAATCATATTATACATCATCGAAGAAGAAACAATATTGAGTTTTAGGATTTTTTCCATTAAGCAACGGACTATACAGCGGCGAGCAACCAATGCGGATGCGTACGCGATCACAGACGCACAAATACAAGATGTCCCAAAAATGGAAATAGGAGGTTCCTGAGATTATTTGAAGTAACCTTTTCCTCAGCGAAAGTGCAATCCGCGGCTTTGTTTACGAGTTATTAACAAAAAACGCTGACCAATCGCAGCGCGAGGCACGGCAGGCGCTCCGCCCATGCGGCCAATACCGCGTCGCGCTGGCCGTCTGACGCAGCGGCAAAGGTCTCGAGGGCGGAGCGTCAGCCGTACGCGATCTCTCATTGATCAGTGTTTTCCCTTAATAACTCGTAAACGAAGCCTCGTAGAAAACTTTTGTAAAGGAAAAAGTTACTCCAAATGACCTCGAGAACCTCCATTTCCGAATTACGAGACATCTTTAGGACACCGTGCATTTTTAAGAAGCACCTTCTCCCAAAACGTCGTGAAAATCGGCGCGCATCGCTTCGGCATGTTCCGTAAGTCACTGAACCGTTGGATCGGTCTCAGCAAGATCGTTTCCTCGACGGAGTTAGAAGCAGTTTACCTTGGTGAGGACCGATCCAGACGTTCGCCGCCCTACTTTCGGAAAATAATCTCTCCGCTGATTTTCCTGTTGTAGGTGTCGGTGGACCGACAGTGCAATCAAGTATCACGTAGCTCTCTGTGAAAGCGTAGCACCCGAGATTCATCCGGTTCGGTTACTTTCAGATGACGTGGTGTACCAGCAGACCGGAGTCGGCGGAGCGACCTTGGACAAACGCAGACCGGACCTTCGTGACGAGCTCGGCTACATCGCGCCACCGAATCGCAAACTGCCCCCGGTACCCGGATCCAACTATAACACATGCGATCGCATCAAGCGAGGTACAGTGATAAGTAAGCCACAACTGCCAACAATATGATTTTTTTTAGCTAAATTCCAACTAATTGTTTAGATGTTGTCGCATCGGCACGATAGTCTTTACCGTTTTTTCATTTTCACGTGACACGATCGGACCGCACATGATACATTGTTAGACCTCACCATTGCCGGACAGACTCGATACCGATTGTCGAGATACACGCAGACCGGGGGGTGGAAAGGGTATCGAATTTCGCGCGAAAGATGTTTCGCAGCGATCACGTTTACAGTGATCCTGGAATATTACTGGAATATTACATTTGAATTCAACGAGTTGGACGAGACTGATGTAGTTCTTTTATAACCAGACTGCGGATTTTTATGCAAAATGAAAAGTTTCCACGTTGACTGTAGGAAGCAGAAATTAGACAAAAATGTATTTCTTCATTTCGTTAAATCAATATATAAAGAATAACGTGACGGTATATTTAAATCATTTTAAAGTCTTTACAATTTTCTGTTTCATCTGCTCATTTTAGCTATAAATGCATAAAATTCTCAGTCTATTTATAACAATGACTTTGAATTAGATCTATTCGAACTCTGTACAAAGCTTGAAGAAAGAAGTTTATCCAAAAGCATCTCATAGAAACGTTCTCATAATATCAGAAATGCAACAAAAATCAGAAACCTGTCAAAATGACTGGTTCGATAGTTCTATCATTAAAAAACAGAAACAAATGACCACGTAGCAGCTACATCTTGCTACGAATGATTTCATTTATCCTCGACGTCATCAGTCTACCGAAGAAACGTTCTGTTTGCCAAGATTTAACGAGACATGAAAATATCGTTGCAACACAAAGTCAGTCAGCTTACTATTTTACAATTCTTCTCCAACAACCAGCTTCAAAGAAACTAAACGAAGCTGAATTCGCAACCGAACGCGCCATGGTCTTCGAGCCACGAAGGATCACAGTTCCGCACCCCTTCTACCCCTTGGATACCCAAACACCATACCCACACGCGATCATCATAGACTCTGCCAGTTCTGTTTAATTGTTTGCCTCGCTTAAAGATATGTTTTTTCTCTACAAGCGTCAAGATGTGAGCCCCACCGTCCCGCCCCGTGGACAATTATTACACTTCTTTTCTCCCTGATTTGCGCTTATCACACACAAGTGTCAAGTACGTTGCGTGTTAGGGTGCCCCGGTGAGCCCGAGTGTCCCAAGCGAACGATACAACTATATATATATATACATCTCTCTCTCTCTCTCACCCGAAATGGCAGCGAGCCACAAACCCTGATCATCGGTAAGCGTTTTAGCCAGTCGTACCACCTTTGTAGTATATGTTCGATAGGTGGAACAGGTTCGATAAGGAGTCACTCGACGTGGGATCCGAGACGGCATATGTACGAGGAGTTGAATCATTGCCCGCCGAACCGAAGATGTCCACCGCCGCCGCGTATGGGCAGTGCCGAGGCTCTATCCCACAGAGGTTGGTAAAAGTAGTTAAAGACCCGAACGAAGCGATCTTACCACACTTCGTCCCCGAAGACGAAGGCGCCCCGACAATCGCGAGACTGCGAACGCTGAACCGGCGGCTGCGACCGGGCTTCGTAAGTCCTCTTCGTTCCACGGTTCTCACGTCTCGACACCCACCCCCACCCCCCTGTTCATCTTGCACGGCCTCGCATGCCTGCGCTGGTACCCGTTTATTTCGCAAACAGATCACACGTCGCACTCATAGGAAACACCTGTTTTTCTCATTCGATTTCTTCTCTCTCTCTCACTCTAAGCTCCGGCTGTGCCGCTCGTGTCTGCGACTGATCACGGATGATACCGTTCGAACGTGTCTCCAGCTTGTTTTGGGATGCTCGTGGAACTGTGACCATGATTCGAAAGCGTCTCTAGTTTATCACAGTTGTACACATGGACACCTTTTAATATGGGATAACGTTTTTGAGATTGGACGACGAGATTTCTCGAGACGATAGAAATACTAGTTTCGCGTGCTAAAAAATGAGCCCTTCCGTCGTCCTAAAAAGATTCAATGCGTTTGGTCGAATTTTGGAAAAGTTATCCCGTTCAACACTAAACCTACCAGCACTAAAAGCGACTGACGCGTAATACTTTGAAGGGGAAATAAGACTGAATTTATTTAAGATGTCCGCCATTTTTATTGTAACATGCGCTTGACTTACGATATTTATTCAATTATTTCCTACGGAAGAGTCTCTATAATTCCAGCGATTTGAAAATAAAAATCTCGGAACCAGTCATTCTGATCACCGTGGTGGGGATTCAGTGTTAAAAGAGGGTGTTCGCGTATATTTTCCACGATCGTGTAACCGGAAGTCGAAGGTCTGTCCAGTGGAATCGCAGCCACGACTGGCCGTCGGATATAAAACTGACGTGCATGACACTTTCCCATCTGAATGTTTCTCCTCAAACAGTGGGCGAGAAGAGGAAACACATGGGAACGCGATACGTAGGTATTATGGTTGTGATAGTTGTGTGGTAGCACATACGTCTCGAGGCCCACCCGCTCAGATTGTCTGGTGTCACAGAGGCGTTTCGACGAAATGGAACGTCCGTAATGTCCTCAGATGCACCGCGAGATGATCTTGTACAATCAATAGAGTAGTTTTACTGCGACCAAAACGACAGTATCTACCCTGAGTGATCGTTTCTTGCAGGCATGGAAGACGAGATCTGCCCGTACGCGACCTTCCACCTGCTTGGATTCCGCGAGGAAATGGACCCCAGCAAGGCTATGCAATTCCAGACGTTCCCCCACCCTGGCAATGGACACTCCGGCACGATGGGACCACCCGTTGGACACCCTACTAACGTTTCTGCTCATAGCCGTTCTGGATCTCAATCTATGGTAACAAGATCATATCAGTATATATCAATTTTAAGAAAAAAAAAACAGTAAGAGATGAAACTATATATTTCTTGTTTTAATAGTTCTAAAAGGTTCGAGATGGTGCAACAATGTGTAATGTAACAATGTATATCATAGTATATCAATTTTAGGAAGAAAGAGTTAGATAAAACTGTATTTCTTGTTTTAATAGTTCTAAAAAGTTGAAGATAGTGCTATAATGTGTAATATAAAAATATATATCATAGTATATCAATTCTAAGAAAAAAGGCTTAAGTAAAACTATATTTCTTGTTTTAATAATTCTAAAAAGTTGGAGATACTGCTACAATGTGTAATGTAACAATATATATCATAGTATATCAATTCTAAGAAAAAAGGCTTAAATAAAACTATATTTCTTGTTTTAATAGCACCAAAAAGTTGGAGATGGTGCAACAATGTGTAACGTAACAATACATACCATAGTATATCAATTCTAAGAAAAATTAGTTCAGTAAAATCGTATCTTCTTTTAACAGTTCTAAAAAGTTTGAGACAATGTAACAATGAAGTTAAAAATTGTCTGCTTCGATTGGAACAAATAGAAGCTAAACAGAACGTCCTGTCTTCCTTAAACAATTCTAACAGATCAACAATAATCCGTTGACATTTAAGAATTCTTCTAATATTTTTGCTATTTCAAATTGCAACTACTCAACCTTGGCATAAATGCATAAAATCCACAGTCTAATAATAAGTGATTATTTTAATGAATTCAAACGAAAACTAAAAGAATAAAATATTCGAAGCTTTTATTCGACTCAAGAATTCTTCCCTTGATCAGAGATAACTTTTGCAGTGGTTATATTTTTTATATTATATCTTTGCAACAGTTGTCAACTAAGACTTGAAAATATCCATCATTCTTCGATACGCTATGATGTATGCCGCAGATTCCGCTATTTCCACGCGTGTTCCAGCCCCGTCAAAACGGACGCTACTCCCGTGTACCATCCCAAGGAGGCGGCAGCGGCACCCACAACGTTTTCTCCCCCGAATACGACGACCCGGCCAACTGTGCACCCGAGGAAGACCAATACGGACAATACGGCGCCCCTTACGATCATTATGGATCCCGTGGCTCGGTAGGACGTCGCAGCGTAGGATCGGCCCGCAACATCCCCGTCTCTGGATCACCGGAACCGCCACCACCCCCGCCAAGGAACCACGACCAGAACAACTCGAGCTTCAACGACAGCAAGGAGAGCAACGAGATCAGCGAGGCAGAATGTGACCGAGATCAATTGGTGAACCGCAACTACGGCGGTCAGTACAAAGAACCGTGATCGAGCGGAGAACGAGAGGGTTGGATCACGAGCGCGATAAACGTCGATCGCACGGGAACCGGAATGATCGAGAGGGGATTCCCGGTTCGCGTGGATCTTCAGGGTGGTCCTTGTTCAGCGAGTTCTCCTGGTCTTGACGCCCTAAATTCTGCCGACGAAAATGATCCGTGCAACATTTTGAAAGCAACTGAACAATGGGAGAAAAATTGAAGTTAGAAAATATTGAACAAAGTTGAAGAAATAAATAAGGAAGGCATCGAAGTTTAAACATTTGTTAACGATTTCATTTCGTTTCAAGCTTATTAGGCAATTATGTGTGAGGTGCATAGGTTTTATAGTAAAATTATAAAGTATTCATTTCATACTTAATGATCTAACGATGGAATTTCGTTATTTTAGGAATAATGTTAAATGTTTTGACTAAAAACAGTGATCAGCGTTGCTTCTAATAAGATACACATTTATGATTTATCATTGAATACAGTATAATATAATGTAGAACTTTACTGTATTTAATGATAAATCATAAATATATATATATTTTTAAAAGCAACGCATGAAGCTGATAATTGTTTTTAATATAATATACATATAAACTACCCCTCACAGAAATTCCATGAAAAAGTGCAGAACTGTTTGTTCAGTATAATATAGAACTTAACAAGCACTTCTGCATTTTTTAATGGAATTTCTGTGAAACATATGACACATACTTTTTTGTCGATCATCAACTGGTACTAAATAAAACTTAAAAATTGTGTACATGGTTTTAGAAGCAAATCATTATTGGTCCAAGACGTTGTCTTTTGGTCGAGAACGTTTAACAATCTTTCTAAAATAAAAAGAAAACTGTTTGACGATGAAACGAAGTCGTCAACATTAAACTTCGACGGATCATTTTCTCTCGGCAAGCGTCGCGATTCAGGGTAACAATAGATCCGGGAACGACTTGCATCCATAGCAAAGTGTACCACCCTAATCAACAGTGATCACGACTCGTTGTTTTCACTCTCGACCTCCCCTCCCCGTTGCTCGTTCCTATGCAGTAGGCGAAAATAGGCATGCCGAGCGAGTCCGAATTGTACAAGAATGAACGGGACTCGCTCCGGAGTCTGTGTACCTAATCGTTTAGCTTCCACGAACTGCATGCTACGTGTCGTCATAGTAGTTTACCGTTGTGTCAATCGTGCCGTGTGTTTTTCTATTTCAGTGAATGCTCGCGGCAAGGACGGCATGACCACCGAGGAGATGCGTAAACTCATAGAGAGGTCAGTAGAGATCGAGTGAGTTTGGTTAACGGCGGGCGATCGGTTCGATAGAACCGTGCCGCCGCCGTTCCTGCCGCTGTGTCTCGAGCGATTTCTTTGCCTCGAGAGCCTAAGTCATTGACTCTTCTCGAATTACTAAATTGGCCGACTCTCCGTTTCAGTCGCTTCGACTATCGCTATTCACACGATGCTCCCCGATATCGTTGAGCGATTCTTTGCTGGATTCTACTTCTTTGCGTAAATTGCACTATCCAACGATCCCCATTTTTAGTGATCCGAACGCATCCTCAGTTTTTCAGACGGTCCCCGTTTTACAGGGTGCTCGCGTACATTCGTCCGCGACTGTAAGTTGTGCGATAGATCAATTGGAACATAAATATTGGGTTGGTAACTAAGTAGTTGCCGATTTGTTCAATGAAATAAAAATTTTTTTTTACTTGGAATGGAGTTTAATCTGTAATGTATTTTCCATTTTGTCCGATGACCTTTTGCCATCTCTCTGACAACTTGAAAATTCCACGCTCGTAGAAAGTCTGATCCTTTTCGGCCAAAAACTGAGTTAAGTGAGATTTTACAGCGTCATCATCGTTAAAAGTTTTACCACGAAGGGAGTTGTCCAGGGATCGAAATAAGTGGTAATCCGATGGCGCGAGATCAGGGCTATATGGTGGGTGTAACATCAATTCCCAACCAATATCCATCAATTTTTGCCGAGTGGACAAAGACGTGTGCGGCCTAGC